CAGGTTTCAATGACTACAGAAAAGGATCATGGCAAAGAAGGCTCACTCTGAATGGAGAAGGATCAGGTTAAGGAACACTTAAACAGTCCAGACATGTACAAGTTTTGATAGGATATACCCAGGAAAAACTATGGGGGGCCTGCCAATGTCACTGCAAGGCCACTCGCAATTGTCTTTAAAAGGTCGTGGCATTTGAGGACTGGAAGTAAACAAGTATCACTCCTATCTCCAAGATGGGCAAGAAGGAGGATCTGGGGAACTACAAACTGATCAGCCACACCTCTATTCCTGGGGAAGGTGATGGTGCAAGTGATTCTGCAAACCATTGCCAAATGTGTTAGGGATAAACAGATGATTGGATGGACAGTTATGATGAGGGAATCTTGGTTCATGAAGTTCAGCAAACAAGTCCTGCACCTGGGCAAAAGAGCTCCAGGCACCAGGACAGGCTGTGCCTCAACTGGCTGAAGAAGCAGCTTGTCAGAGAAGGATGTGGCATCCTGGTGGTCATCAAGTTGACCTCGAGCCAGCAACATGCCCTTGTGGCAAAGAAAGCCAATGGCCACCTGAGCTGCTTTAGAAGTATGGCCAGCAGATTGAGGGAGGTGATCTTTCCCTGCTCCTCAGCCCTGGTGACATACATCTGGGTCAGTGTCTAGCTCTGGGGTCCCTCGTTCAAAAGAGATGTAAACATGCTGAAGAGAGTCCACTGAAGGGACACAAAGATGATGAAAAATTAGAGCATTCTTCACACTAGGAGGGGCTGAGAGAGCTGGGAGTGTTCAGCCTAGAGGAGAGAAGGATCAGAGGGGTATTACTGATGTATGAATTGCTAATATGAAGTTGGGTCAGAACTCTTCTCAGTGGTGCTTCATGAAAGGACAAGAGGCAATGAACACAAAATGACATACAGGAAATCTCCCTTAAACATAAGAAAAAGCTTCTGTACTGTGAGAGTGATTAAACACTAGAACAGACTGCCCAGAGGGCTTCTGGAGGCTCTGCAGATATCTGCAGATACTCAGAACCTGACCAGAGTCAAGTCCTAGGAAAACTGCTCTATATGATCCTGCTCTAAGTAGGGGCTGGACCAGATGATCTTCAAGGGTGCCTGTTAGCCTCAATTATCCTATGATTCTGTGAAGATTTAGGCAGCAGGCAGCACCCTTGTAAGACCTGTACAAGTCGTAAAGCTCTCCATAGTACAGTAGGACAATTCAGCCCTCCATACATCAATGTGCACCTCTAAGACAAACCAGAAACTTACAGTGTTATCTAGCTGGCTGTCTATGGAATCACATGTGCCATCACTTACTTTGTTTGGCTTAGCATTCAGATCCTGTATGCTCCACTTACAGTTCAGAGAAATTAAAAATACATACAGAAGGAAGACCGCTTGTGAAAGATTATAGCTGGCTTTGCTTCACAAGTTCCTCCACTGGCAAAGGAAGTAGGTCTGGCTTGTAACTCTAGTGCCACCATACAAAAAAGGCCTGTCCACAATTAAGATAAAAACCTTACTGAGCCTAGTGTAATGCCACTGGGATTACCATCTCTCTCTTTCCATACTTTCCTCTAATTCCCTCAAACAGACTTATTTTGGCTTGAAAGTCTCCATGTTTTCACTTTGGCCAGAAGCAACGCTTTTTTGATAGGTTCAGCCAAATCTGTTATTTTTTAGCTCTCCACTTTTGTGCAAGTCTAAATTACTCCCAAACAAAAGTAGTTCCAGAAATAAGCTCTGACTGTGAAACATTTTCAACAGAATATAGAGGGAGTTCATCTGATCTGTTAAAATGTAGTAAAAGCATAAAATATGCTGGATCTAATGATCAAATATATTGAAGTTCAAATTGCTACATGCAATTCCACATAAGAAACCAACATTACAGCCATGCAGCTGTGTTAAGACCTGGGAAGAGACAGGAACATTTTTTGCACAATGTATTACACATCTCTAAACCACATCAATCTACTTGGAATATAAAATAAATCATCAATCTTTTCTGATTTTCCCTAATTTAAAATAGAAAGACTAGTTTAAATAACAAGAGGGGGTGTTTGTAATACCACAGTCACGCACAAATCATGACCTTTTTTGGGTGTTACTGATGATAAAAGTATTTTCTTTCAATTATGTTTGGTTAATGGAAAAGACTGAAGTTTCCTTACAAAAAGCCTAGCCCTTTTAAAAATAAAAAACATAGGGTGAAAAAATCTGGAAAGAAACAGCTAAAAATCTTCTCCCGCTTCTAACCTGGAGACCCTTCAATATTCTACTACCATTTTCACACAGCCTCTTCCTGAAGTTTTTCAGCTACTGCTCGGAGATAGTTTTTTCACTGATGCCCAGAAGATGGAAAAGCACAATGCAGTAATGATTTAGTCTCATTTTTATTGCCTTTCTTTTTCTCCTCTTCTTCTACAGCTCATTCTAACCTGCCTCATGCAAGCACCTTCCCTGAACCTTTTACCAGTAATTAGCAACAGTACAATACTCAAGTGATACTAAAAACTGAACACAAGAAATTTGTTCATCTTCACTGTTTGTTGGCATAAAAATAAAACTTCTACATAATTATCACATACAGCAATCTGAATAATCAAAAGACTAAACTAGCTTTCTGGAAAACAATAAAAGCCTGCACTAGTATTTGTAATAAGCACTCAGTAAACCTACAAACTTTGTAGAAATGGATCTGTTTTCTGCATTATATCCTGTGATGTTACTTCTCATTTATACAATTAATATGAAACAATTTTTTTTAAAAAGTGAAACTCCTGTGCAGTCAAACCACAGGATAATGAGGAACTGTGCTGCTAAAAGTGGGAAGCTGGCACTGAACTTCGAGCAGAGCTATTTGAAAGAGCAGATGAGAACAGAGGACAGAGTGGTATCAAAGCCAGAGTGCAATTAGAGACAATTTCTAAGTCGATCTGAAGTCTCCAGAGAAGACAGTAAACCTGTCTCGATTCAAAAGTATGATGGAAAAGCATGAGAAAAGCACACCTGGTGACTGGAGATCAAGCCATGTGCACATAGCCATAGAGCAGAGGTATTCATATAGGCCCAAGGCTCCAGGCAGTGTTGCAGTACAGCAGTGTTGGGTGGATCCTAACTCTGCTCTACTGGAAGAGGTAATCAGTGGAGAAAGAAGGGGCAACTGGGAAAAAAGAAAATAAGAAGGAGGGAAGGAGGAAAGCAAGAATCTAAGACCTAGGAAGGGTTCTAGGACTGTCATGAAGGTTGAGCATAAGAGAGATTGGGTAAGACAGGGATCTCTCCTGCTCTGGCAGCGCTTCTGCGCTCTGGGGCAAGGCTATGCACACTGATGACAGTGAGGACAGTCTAGGGGAGGAGAGTGCGAAGAGAAGGAAATTGATGGGAGGGGCGACAGATGGTACTTAAAGACACGTGATTTGTCCAGTGCAGCCGCTGTGAGGCAGGGTTTGTGTGCAAGGAAGGGAAGAGGCTCTCTTCTGTCAAAGGATCCTGCTCCAGGGACAGGGCAGATTCAGAGTGACATTTGCATCCACATCCATCCATTTCCATGGGCTGCTCATTGTTCAGTTGTGACCCAGTAACTGGAGCCCCAACATCTGTGACTAGCCTCCTGACAGAAGACTAACTACCTGCAACTGACACCACTGGCATGCAGGGCTAACACATGTCCTTGCCAGGAACATCAGTCCAGCAGGGGCAAGCGTGATCAGAACAACGTCAGCAGTGGAGCACAGCAAAGCCCTGGTCTTAGCTTAAAGACAGACATGACCAAAATCAACAAAACCTGCACCTGCTTCACTGTACTTCATGACAGGGAGTTGTGCAGAGCAGTGATGTTACAGGAAGATAGCACGTTACAATCTTCATGCATGCCTGAACAGACGTTATCAGCCACCTTCCGTTACCTCCCTGCCCTCATACACAGGGCTCTTGTTAGGATAAGTTTGAAACCACAACTCTCTGCTGCAAGTGAGAAGACTCTCAAAGACTTCAAATACCAATCCTTTGAGTATTTAAGTAAATACTTTCCTTGCCTTGTGTAGATCTTCTATCCTCATTAAAGCAGTAATCATTGAGACCGGAAAACACCACATGGATCCTGACACCAGTTTCAGCTCTCCCCCTTTCCCAAGGCCCATATGGTTCATGGTCGAGGGGATGTGATACTTCTCTGGGAATTAGCACCTGCCTTTTCAAACACAGATACTCACTTTTTCCCTTCCTTGGAGCTAGCACAAAGGATGGGAGTCATGGCAAACCAATCCTGTTTATGCCCTCCACCCAGCCGTAGTTTGAAGTGTGGGTGTTAACCTCACTGAGTTGGATGTGCCACTGGATATGCCTATAGATTACTGCTGGCTGCTAAGAGACAGAAAACAGAGTAGGTTTTCCCCAGCCAGGCCCAGTTAATGCTCTGCTTCAAAATAATGGCAGGCACAATTTCCTTGTAGTTGTGGAAGCACAGTGAAAGAGGTAAGGAGCTGCAGCAGGAAGAGAAAGGTGAAAGTGTGCCTTGCCTCTTCACTTGCATCTACTGAGTCCCTAAGAGTCACATAATTTGCGTGTTATTATTTTGGATGTGTTCTTGAAAGGTTTATTCAAGCACTGGTGCAACCTCTGACTTTTCATCTCAGCTCCCTATTTCTCCTGCCCTTCTGCCATGCTTGGCCAGACCATAAACACGTAGGCTGTTCCTTTTGTGTATGCGCTGTACTTGGTTCAGTGTCTTTGGCTATGCTCATAACAAATAAGCCTGTAACCAGTAAATATTGCAGTCAATGCATACGCTGTGAGCTCTTTGCATACTGAAGAAAAACAGCCTCCTACACTAAAAAAGTTTTCCTACTAGGGTACAACTCTCAGAGCAAAGCTGTGTTCTGTGCCTACCACAGTGAAAGTACTGACCCGTCTTTAAACTGAGGCCAAGCATTTCTAAAAAGCTTCTAACAGATGTAGGAAGAATGTGTTCAGGTTGAAGGACACCTCAATCACATACCAGCTCCAAATGCAAAGAAGAAACTTTTGTCTGGGTACTCGTCCAGCAGGTCCTTCACCCTCCTGCCCATTCGCTCATTTCGCTTGTAGATGAGCTCCTGACGGAAGTAGCTGTCTATCTCTTGGGCAGTAATACGTTCATGGGCTGGAAGTGTAGCATTAATGAAATTTGGGACCTAAGGTAGAAAAAAAATGTCTTCATGAAAGGGGCATTTATTTCACAGGCAGCAATCATGCACAGGCATTTTGCTCCATCACTGAATGTGGTAATCACCTTGTCTCTCAAGGCACATCCAGCAAGACAAAACCCAAATAAAGTTTAAAAATGACTTAGCAAATTTCTAATAATGCACAGTGTTTCATTTCTCTCAACATACCATTTCATAAGCCAGTTAGCTGAATTTTTTGATGCAAAGTCAACAAATACTCTCGGTTTGCCACACTGAGGATCCCAAATCCTGATTGCTCGGCTGAAGAAAGTAAATATTTGCTCCTGGCTATCTTTAGCTACATACCTCTTCCTTAAATTGCCACAGGTATGACATAACTATAATGATAATTACACTCTTCTAAAAGACACTGACTGGTATCAGAGCCCTCAGGCTGCCAAAGAATAACTGTGCAATTTGAACTAGTTAACAAAAACATCCCCAAACTTTCCAAAAGAAAGAGGGTCAGATCTGTCAGGAAATAAAGTATTACCACCTCGAGTTCCTCTGTCCTCAAGGTATTTTTTTAAATAGTGGCTTTCTCTCCTGGGCCCCCAGGACAGCTGTGGCTGCACACTACCCTCACCGCTTCAGTGGAGAGAAACATGGGCCTGGAGTTGCAGCCATCCCGACTTCTTGACAAGTAGCTTTGGGCATTGCAGGTATGGGAAAAAGCCTGCAAGTGGTGGTTTCTGAGGAGCAGAGCCACAAAGCCAGGTGCTTTCCCTTGCAAGGTTACAGCAGCTGAAGAGGGTCTGAAGGCATGCAGACTCAGCTTCGCTGTGAGGGAGAGTGCCCTGCAGTGGAGCCCCTCATGTAAGTAAAGAATAGTTGCTCCCTCAGAGACACGCAGGTCTCTGCAAGAGCTGTTCTCTTTAAGGACCTAAGGCAACGTCAGCTGTCTGCAGTTTGTAACACCTCAGTTGAATATTGATGCAGCATCTGTATGCTCTTACAGTGCTGGCCTCTTTTGAGAAGCATTTTGAAATCTATGGACAAAGTGCACTGTGTACAAGCTAAGCAGTGTTAACAACCAGGTTGCCTGCACCTGCAGGCTGAAGGGTGTGCAGGACAGGAAGGTTAACAATACGTGTGCAAAGCTCAGTGCCATAGAAGCAAGTGTTAGTATGACAGTACTTCCAGCTCTGCAGCACTGTACATATAACACTGTATATATAACTGCTGTATATAACAAAAGGACAAAGGAAAATTGTTATTCAGCAGGGAAAGCCCAGGTACCAACACCCATTTATTCAGAACTGTGAGGTTAGAGCCCATGTTTTCATTGATGTGCATGAATTGCCAGGCAGTACCTCACAGATAAGAATAGAGTGGCCTGACGTCTCAGTCTGAGGTTAGCTAATCTAACAGCCCAAACAGGCCAAACTGGTCCCTGCTGGGCATTTTCTTGTGGTTTAAAGATCAGAGCATTGCATACCACTGTGCTACTTAGGAAATCGTCTCCATAAACCAAGTCTGTGAGGCCTCAGAAGGTTTTCTTTTCCTTAACATTTGATCTAAATCTACCTTTTCTTTTGTTTCACTCCATTTCTCCTCTTTAGGCTAGCCCACAGTACACAATCATACTGATAGGGGACTTTAAAAAGCTTGCAACTTGCCCAGTCTCACAGAAGCGTCGAAGTCACGAGTGTATTTCTGTCACTATTTGCACAAAAAAGCCTGCTGCTGCTTTCTTTTGGCGCTAAGTTCACTCATACCTAAGCTAGCATAATTCCACAGGATCCTTAAGAAAATAAAGGATTAACTCATAGAGATTTGACGCTAAAGCAAACATGGCACTTATACAAAAGTGAAAGCCAGGTGTGGCTTCACTGCTTGTGAGCAGCAAGACAGGGGTGAGGTGGTGCAGAATCCTGGGACAGGAGGTGCAGGAAAGAGGACACGCCAGGAAGCCCAAGATGTGACCTCAGCCTTTGCCTGCAAAGGGCCTGCCTGAGGAGAGATGCGCGTGAGACACGGGTTAGCACTATGGGGACATGTGCGTAGTACAAGGGCTGCGGTGGCAAGACTCACTTGAGAAGTGTCATGGTTGAAGATGATGGAGCTGAGGTCCCCACAGTTGTAATGCTTGATAAGGTCTTCTGTCGTATAGGGGATCTGGAAACTGCCTGCTCGGAGGCTCTCCTGCTGCAAGAGAGTCTGATTCAAAGCAAAGACCACCTGAGGGAGGGGGAGAGGGAGGAAAAGACAGAGTTCCTGGTGAGTTCTTGTCTTGCCCCTTGAGAAGGTCACAGACACACAGCCATCTGCTGAGGGCTCTCTGAAGCTGCTCCTGCTCCAAGCGCAGCAGTCCATGTGTTGCCAACCCATGCCTCCTCCAGGTCTGCAGGTACTCACACCTCGAGTCCCATGGACCTGCCTCACAGGGAACTGACTCACCACACCTAGCTCCAGGAGGTTTTGCCCATGATGTGAATAATACAGAAGATACAAAGAGGCAGACTGAAATAAGGGCAATCTTGTTCCCCTAGCTGATGGTCTGTCTGACCACCATAGAGTCCTAGGGCCTGACAGGCCCCTATGCCCACAGCAACTCAGCCACCTACCTAAATTAAGCATGGCTTCTCCTCATTTGCCCTTTCTTCCTCACCTACAAAGAACATTAGTGCTGTCGTTTCATGCTTCATGCCTCCTTCTCCCACACACTCAGTTTATTTCAGGCAGGAATGGCTCTCTGGAGGAGACCAGGGAAGGATGCCGGCTGCCGGGGGACGCGGGTGGCCACCTTCCTCACAGGTCTGAGGGCAGTGGCACTGCAGCAGCCCAGCACACTCCCCTGACTGACTGCCTCCACAGGCACAGGGGCTGCTGCTGCCTTTGCTCCTCCTCCTTGGCGTTCACCTGGGAAGGCAAGCATGCCCATTCTCTTCTCCTCAAGCTGAACCAGGATGGCTACCACAACTCCTACTCCCAGGGAGCCTGTCTCGTTAGCGGAGAGGGAGGAGATCAGCAGAGGTTTGTCCTCCAGGTGTTGCTGCTTCCCCACCTGCAGCACAGCGTGGCTCTCACAGAGAGAGTGGGCCTCAGGGCCTGGCTCAGAGAGACCTGTGGCTCTAGCTGCCTCCTGCCTGAGGTACGCACACCCCATGAGGATGACCACCACTTAAAAGACACAAGAGAGCAGTTTGGAAGAACACTTGACAAGGGCCTCTGGAGCCAAACATGCAATGCAGCACCACTACACCTCTCCCTTGCTGCTCCAGCAAGCAGCCACTGAGCCTCAGAAAGGCAGGGAGCCAAGGAAGAACTTGGGGCAGAAACTCCCCAGGCTGAGCACGAGACACCAGTGGGCACACTGGTGGGGCACAGAGCTGGCTGCTTGCCTGTGCAGACACAGCTCTCCATCGGCGAGTGGCAAGCCAAACACTGCCATCTCTCCTGAACACACTGCTTACTCAAGCCACCGCTGGTTTGTAGACCAAGCCTAGAGAACTGTAACAAGCCTTTCTACTACTACTAGCTGATTTGTTTTTCTTTTTTTTTATTATTTCTAAAGGAACTAAGCTGAGAGATACTGCTGAGGTCTTGAAACACAATTCAAAGTTTTTCTTGGGAGGGTTATTTTCCAGGCACTGGTGACTCTCTGCAGCCTGATGAGGGCTCTATGCAATTAAGTCATCCTAGATCTTTACCTCAAACAGCATCAAATGCACTCTCAAGCTGGAGGTATTCGTCAACACCACGAAACTCACACACATGTAAGAATACTCTTAATATACTGAGATTACATGAACCAAATCTTGGGATTACCAAGGGCAGGACAGATGTGGGAACAAACAGGTGCAATTTGCTCACCCTCAACACAACAATCCATCAGATTGCACAGAAAGGTGCAAATCCCACCAAACTTGAAATCATGCTGTCCCCACTACAGCTAGAGCTGCCCATCTGGATCCAAAGCATGGTATATTTAAGCGAATATGAAAGCACATAACTTAGCATTAGTTCTGGCAGGGTGTTAATGAATACCAACATTCACTCCCATTTCGGATTTTTAAAAAAGGGCAAGAATTCACTTTGTTGGTACAAACTGCATCTGATTAAAAGAATACCTGCAGGCAGACACTTAGGAAAGTTACATCAAACTAACCAGCGGCCATCTTGCAAAGGACCTCTGTTTAATTTGGAAGTAAATTAAACAAAAACAAATTGAAACCACTTCATGTCTGAACAAAAGTTTGAATGCAGGCTGAGGTTTATTGCACTCTGAAGCCATTATTTTCCATTTGTTTGGCTTCACATCTCACACAGAGAAGCCCTAATAGATGTTAATGACCAGATGATATTCACTGAGAGACAAGCCAAATCCATGCTGAAAATGTGGGGTTTCTACAGCCAGGACTGCTAGGTCATGCCAGGAAAATCTTGTACACACTATCAGTCCAGCCAAAAGCACTTCCATGAGAATGGCTTATTTTGTAAGTTACTTGACTACCATAACAGCATCCACTTGGACAATTTATCATTAAGGCAATATGGTCTTTTCTAGACTCTGCAGCCTCTGAAACAGTGATCAGCCAGTGTCTGTCCACAGAGCAGGAATAAAACCTGTGACAGTCTCCTGAGCAGGTCAGGTAGCTCAGTCTCAGTGTAGAGTAAGCACATCAAAGAGGGTTTGCAATCTTTGCCATCTGATTTTTATCCAGACACAACCCAGGAGAGGGTAACCATCTTCTGTGAAGAAAACACCAGCCTGCTGGGCAAGACGTGAGAACAAAGCAAATCTTCCTTTTTCCGCTGTACTCCCACAGCCTGCACTCCTGCTGTTGCTTGCTCTGCATGACACCCTCTGATCCATGCACATCTCTTCCCTCCTTCCTTGCATTGTGTTTCAGGTGAACAGATTCAGTCTATTCTCCAAACAGAGCTGGCCTGAACCACAGCAGCCATGTTGAGCCCCACAGGCGTCTTCCTTCCTTGTGCCCACCCACTGGCTATAAGAAACTAGCACACAGTAAACTGCAAACAGCTAAATAAATCTGTCTCAAGAGCATGGTTCAAAACTGCAGTTACCACACACATTTATACAAGAATAGAACCAACTCACCCCTCCTCCCGTCTAACTTTGCTGCTGGTATGACATAAAGCTGTCCTGGTGAGGCAGCTCTGGAAGCTTTCTGGTCTTTGCTAAGCGTGACTCTTTATGGTGTTGAGGTGGGAGATTTGGTTGACACGTGAAGAAATCTCAGTATGGCTGCAGCTAAATGGCTGCACAGAAGACCTTTCACAATGAAGTGGTTTATGTTTCACCTCAAAGAACAAAAAAGTCTTCGAGCTCACTGCCCAAGACTCCTACACCCCATCCCAATCACAACTGCCTGTGGACAGAGCATCCAGCAGGCTGCCATGGACCTCACTGCCTGGTCAGTGGGTTTGTGTGGCACTACATGGGCCGTTTTTCTTTGGCATGGAGGACTACAGAGGGCTGTTCCCTACCAGGTCAGATATTCCCATGAGCAATGTCTTCCCTTATGTGGATCTAGACCTGGATCCTATCACTAAGAATAGCACCTGAGAGAGAAGTCACAGAAGAACCACCTGAAGCCTACCCAGAGAGGGGACTTCCACTTTGGCGTTGTGAGGGACAGAGGTGGTCTCAGCTCCTTTGATGACAACAGCAGCAGCTCAAGTCCCTCTGTACTATTCTCAACTACAGCCCAAGCACTTGAAGCGAGAAAAGTCAAGATACAACAGATAGGTAGAAATCAAAGAGCATCAGTGTCCTTGACAATTAGCCATCCCTAATGAGTTATGGTAATTCATGACATCAAGTTTTGCACAGCTGGAGGGCAGAAGATGCTGTTGGCAAAAATACTCTTTACATCAGCTGATCTGAAAAGAATGGTGGCATCTGCTGGAGGGGAATCATGGCACAACTACACCAGATTATGATTTGACATCAGTGCGTGTGTAGAGCCTCTCAAAGGAATGTGACAGCTTCTTTCAATTTCTGTATCACTCATAGTTTCTTGGAGGAATTGTAACTCTCCAGCAGAAAGAGAAGGCATATGGGGGTAAAGAAGGAGGAGATGTTTGCAGTACCAGGTGTTGCTTAAAGCTATGCCCTGGTGAGAAGGTTATCTTCAGTAAATAGTAATGGAAAAACACTGTCAGGACCTCAAGAGAAGGAAGATTCCTGAACCTGTTGTTCTTAAAAGATTTAATTTGCTGAGGTGGGTCTTGCTCAGAGGTTGATAACTCTTATCTCTCATTATCTCTCAAAGAAAACATTAGACTAGGTGCAAACTGATACTTAAGGAAGACCACAGCCATCAAACTCTGAAGATCGGATCTCAGTCTTGTTTACCAGATGTGAAAGGCTGAAGAACATTGTCGACAGAGCATAAGAAGCAGGGACCAGATCAGTAGTTGATCTGCAACTGCTATATTTGCTTGGCAAAAATACTCCTTGCCTTCCTAGCTCCCCATTAAATTCTGCAGTCCTTTCATTTCTAATGAGTCCAAAGAGTTATGAAGAAAACATAAAAGAAGGAAACATTGAAGAGAAATTTTCAGTTTTGCTTAGAAATCAAAACGAAGAATCTGGGCTGAGCTAAGCTCCTCCCAGAGGTGGTACAGAAAGTATGTATCTGTCTTCTGGGTACCTCTTGCATTGCACTGTTTTACTAATTCCAAAATCGTTCCTGTGTTGCAGTGCACAGAAATCACTCACATTCGCTGTCTCTGTATTCTTCCTTACTTCACACCTCCCTCCCCCCCAGCAACTCCATCCTACTCTGCTCCATTAAATGTATTCATACTAGCATCAAAGCATCTCCTGAAAAGAAGTATTCAGAGAACAAAAGTAACAAGTTTATTAGAAAGGGATTTTTTTCCTCCCACCTTCCATTTCCACTGTGATCTCTCTGTCTTCCCCCAAACCTCTCCCTTTTTGTACTGTGGAAAAAATCGATTAAGCTCTCTGGTATACATATTGCTGCAAGCCTCATTCTCCTCCTGGAGATTTCTTCAGCTGTCAGGAGACACTTGTCCCTTTTGCTAGCATTGTTGGAGTGGCCTGCTAGGCTAAGGGGGTAGGGAAAATGGGGTTAGAGCCCGGCAGATGCCTTTTTTGTCAAAGACAAAAGACCCCCTGCCATCCTCTCCACTTTTCAGCACTTTCAACCACATTGGATCAAAGTGCTATTCTGCATATGAAAGAAACCTGGCATTATGCGCCTCAAATTAGCCTATCGCCATCCCGCTAGCCTCCAAGTCTTCCCAACAAAAGCGCTCACATCTGTTCCATCATTTGCCTCATCTTCTGGTTTCTTTTTCTCTCCGCTAGAAGTTTTTGAGGGCCATTCAGCCTGTTGAATTACAGTCTGGGGGAGCATCTTCCTTGCTCTTGGATCGCTCAGCCGGACAATTTGCTTTTAATTGTCTTAAGGAATCATGGGCTGCTTTTGGGGCCTTCCCAGTGACTAACTGCATCCATTACGACTTCCATTCAGGCTCTTCGACCAATTCTTTCCCTCTTCCTCCTCCTTCTCAATAGCGTGTTTCTCTCCTTGCTGTTCACCTGGAGGAGACCATTGCTTCTCTGGTCCAGCAAATACTACTGCCCTAAATCAAAGTGAGCCTCAAATGAAAGGCATCATGGCTATGAAAGTCTATAATCTTCCTTTGTTATGGTAATGGTCCAGCAGGCCGTTCTGTATCTCCTTACATGTCTGGTGGCCATGCCACAGCTGCCTTAGAGGCAGAAAGCTGAGACTAGCATTTTCAGAGTGTGGAAACCTGAACCCACCTGCTATGAGGAGCTTTGCCAACACCAGCCTGCACAGACAGGCAGGAGAAGTCTCATTTTGGCAGGGGCTGAGGATACCAGCAGGAGATCTGACTCACCATCTGCAGCCTTCAGAGGACCCTAAGTCACTTTCAGGGCTATTTGACTAGATGGGATGCTCCAGATGAGATGGTCCCTGCAACAAGCTTCTGTAAAGAAGGAGAAAAACGAAGCAACTTCCCAAACTTGAATCACTTTTGTGAGAAAGATTGGATTCAGGTGTCTAGAAGAGACAGGTTATCCAAGGGACTTACCCAGAGGACAACAGATGAACAGTACAAGTCACTGAAACAAAAGGAAATGGAAACTATTCTAGGTTACCTGCATGCTACAAGTTTCCCATGGGCTTGGTTTTATTTATGTTTTTTGTTCTCAAAAGCCAGCATGGGAAGCAGAGGGAGCACCTCTTCTCTACCATGAACATCCAAGGCCCTTAGATGACACTCTGACTCAAATCAGACACACAGATGCTGACAGAGGTAAGAGCAGTGAAGAATTTAATCTCTGGTCTGCTGACAACAAACTCACCCAGGCACATCTGGTGCCAGATTCTTGCAGTGTGTCTTTCCACAACCAAACCCTGAAGGTTTTGGTTGTGATCTGAGATTTAAATGGAAATATACAAGCCAACTCTTTTCTGCCTAGGAGCTGTCAAAAAAAGGGACTTCACATAATTTATCAGGCACTTTTGAAGCAGTGAATGAATTTATCAGAGTAACATTGCTTACAGCACTGCTGGAAAAAGTGCAACTCATTTACTTGTAACAAACTGCATTAATATATAGCCTTTTGTCCAAGTAATTTACACTGATTTACAGGCTTGTATGTTTCTGCTGACAGCAGGAGAAATAAACACCCCACTATGTGCTGAATGTGGATAAGACCAGCAGTAGCATAGATTGTTCCCATTTCACAGGTCAGCTTGCAGTTCACAGCTGGACACCTCTGTGACCTTGCTGGGACTTGCTCCTGTCTTTCCATGGGGCCAATAGTGCAGCTGTTAACCTCCTGCTGCAGCTCATCCCTGAGAGCTCTCCATCTGAGTGCTCACTGGGACTTGTTCCCATGCTGCAGG